GCCAGGAAGCTAGTATTCTGGGTCAGGCAGCTAGTATTCTGGGTCAGGCAGCCTTCTTCTGAGCTCAGCATGGATGTGTGTACTACTGAGGAAGGCCGAGTAGGCGAGAGGTTGGTGCTGGTACTGTGAAGCCCAGGGCTCGGATAGGGGGCCGATGTATTCATACAGGGCCGCATTTCTTCATCGGTTGTGGGGATATATGGCTGAAAAGCATGCTGGAAGATTGCTGGATTCTGGTTGAGGTTCTTCTCTAGCACCTGCTCTCTGATTGGTTGCTCCCTGAATGGTGACTCTGGTGGCAGCTGGGAATCATCAGAATTATAAGGTGTTCTCACACGGAAGCTCAGGCGATCATCACGCCGCCCCACTGGTACAGTGGGGCTGTAACTTTCAGGGTGGGAGAATGACTCGGAAAGCCCCCTCCTCCTCCTCCTTCTTCTCTGAAACTTAAGCTTTCTAGCCAGAAGATAATTATAATTCTTGTAAGCATATCCAAACGGCTTCTGAAATTACACAAACCCAGCATAAATGAAGTGAGTAAAAAGGAAATAAAGCGAGCAATAAATACATTAATATTGATTTTCCATGCAGCACTGCTTTACATGATTAAAAATAAATGCTTTCTTGATTACATGATTAAATTTTACTCCTCTTCAACCCTACATTTTAACTGTATTTTATACATTATAGCTGCAAACATAAAAATACTCAGAGTCATAACTTATCAAACCTAAACTTCAGCATCCTTCCAACAGAATTTTAGTCCTTCATCTGCTATTGAAGTAAGGCGAGATCAGCCTTGCTAATCTTACAGAATTACTAGTTCTCTATCACTTCTACCTAACTGGCATCTCTAGAAACTTTACTAGAGGCTTACCACACAGTTCAGAAAATGTTTGTCGTTAACACTTACACGACCTTGCCACAGGGATTTCACACGGCAACGGTAGATCTTTGAAACCTTTCCAAGAATCTGGTCGCACTTCCTACTTAGGTTCTGGAGGGTCTCCTCTATGATCTAGTATAAGACAGAAGTTATTAGTAGTTTCTATTCCAAAACAAAGCAACATATGTGAAAATACCACTAAGTCAAATTTTAACTGCTAGAAACAACAAGCCCTCAGAAGTGTCTTGCTTCCTACTTGAGGCCTGGTTGTAGGTGATACAGAGTCAAGTGGATGAGCTAAAGAGCCCCAACTTTCCCTCCACTCAGGTGCTGGGGAAGCTCTAATGCTGAAAAAGAACGTACCACACTTTCAATGAAGAGCCACCAATCTTTTGTAAAGAGCATTATCTTTTTAATAAACTTTCATTACCTCTGGGATATGGAGCTCACAAAATTCCTGGGAATCACATACCTCTGTCAATCTCTACCAACATGCCAACACGGTAAGTTTTACAAAATCCCCTTGGAACAAAAGATAACACTCTTTCCAAAACAGTACTGGGCTGCCACTTTGTTCCATTGAGATATCTTGAGATCCATTTAGGCACATTTCATCCAAAACAGCCAATTTCCTTTTAAAGGTTTTGGAGGGGAAATTAATTCAATATTGAGAAATCAAGATAAAAGAGACATAACTACATCTGATCAGTAATGGGCTTTTAAAAAAGCTATAAAATCCTTATGTTGCTATTTCAAAAATTTCACCCAGGGATGCTGTACTAACTAGAAATTGTTAGAAATTATCACAATGGGGTGATAATCATAAATAATTTGATAAGTAAAATTTCAATTAATTGTACACTTTCCCTTTATACGAAATAAAGAGAACTTTCACTTAACATTTTAGAAAACTACACTGAAGAGACAGAAATTCCATACCTGGCAACGGTCTAGGACATCCGTCACTGTTTTTGGTGGCACTTCAATATCAGCTAGAAGATTGTCCTGTTAATATTTTAAAAGTAAATAGTTAATGCTTTACTTCTATCAGAGTCAAGTTCAACAACAGGGGGAAAGAACTTATTATTTATTTATTCAGACTCTTTTTATTTGTCAACAACTTTTCAAAGGTTTCAGAAAATCTTCATCTAAAGCAGAGATACAATAATAAAACTTCACATGAATATGAGAATGAAAATGAGAATTGCCAAATAAGAAAGGAGGCAAGAAACAAACTTATTAGATCTGAAGAATACAGATTTAGAGTTTTCTATTGAAAATAAATACAAAACTGCTCCGAATTTCCTACTATATAGGAAAAGAGGTAGTAAAATGGTTAAGAAGTCATTGTCTAATGAAGAAAGCATACAAACTCATGAGAGATTTTCTTGGGTGTCCATTTAGAGAACTCCATAGTATACGAGAAATTTAGACCTCTTCCCTGAAGACTTTAGATATTTCGTAACCAGCAATTAATACTACTTACAGTACTGGTAAATGCAGTATTTGGTTCATACGCATAAAGAACAGTATTATCATCATCATAAGCAGGTATTCGAGTTCTTATCTGAAGAAGATTTATTAAAAAATTAAAAGGGAAAAGGAAAAATGTAACCAAAATTAAAGTTGAGAGCATCAATTTCAGTTTCAAGAAACTTCAAAGGACTATTTGTGGTATCAAAGGACCTTTGCTCATAGTAAATACTATGACTACATGAAAAAATGTATTTGCAAAATGTTTTCTCACCAATCTACTATATGTAAGTCACCATTTTCACTGCACCTAACTCTTAATGCTTCAGGGTAAAAAGATTAGTCTTCTAGCACTAGAACAGCTTTAAAAGCAAATATTTCTAACAATGAACTAAATGTTACATGGCTTTTGATTTCCAATAATCCAACAGTGCCCCTCTCTGGACAAGACAGGAAACACTTAAACACCGATTTTTCTTGATAAATCAATCTCTCTATGCCACCTTGAAACTTCTTTTTTAATAAGCCAGGGCATAAATAAGTAAATAGTAAACTTCAGAATAATAACTCTTTACTCTGAGAATGAACTATGAACTATATAAACAACTTCAAAATAAACAGACCTGGTAGCTATATATATCTCTGTTTCAAAATATATGATAGAAATCACTTGAATTAGCCTTGCTCTCAAGAGATCCAAAATAATATGGAATTGGGCTACAGATTAGTACATCTTACCCTTTGTATATAGTGCCTTATGCTTTTCAAAGTGCTTTTGCATAATTATGTCAGAGAAGACCCCTGCTAGGCAGTTAACATTACCTCCAAAGATTTTTGAAAAACATTAGGGATGATACAAGTTAAGAGAATTGCCTTGACTACTTAGGTAATGTTAATATCTGCTTCCTTATATAACTAAGTAAATGTGCTCGGCCAAATTATATAGTTTAAATAATTTATATTTTGATTCAACTTCAAGGATTAAGAAATAGAATATAATAGCAAGGTAAGAGCAGCACAACTACTTTGAAAAACTGTTGGCAAACTTGTAGAATGCTAAATTTACATGAACTCCATGACCTCGTAATTCAACTTCTGAGTATTTATCCAGAAGAGATTTAAGTACATGTTCACAAAGAAACTTACTTGTGCATGAATGGTCATGACAAGGAACTCACTTATGATCTATGTATTTCACTACATGAAATTAAACACATTTTTACAAGAAGCATAACACAAGGAAAATAACAAAGACAGATTTTCAACTTGAAATACAAACCACATCGATTTCACTGGAGCCGCTAGACATCTTCCTCTGAGTTGGGCCTAATTATTTTTAAACTTGCTGGAAGGTTTATTTGTGAAACTTCTTAGTCACCTAAGACTGGTAAACCTCCTTTCTACTCCTGAAAAGCAACGCATAAAAAAGTTACTTCACACACTTACCATCCTAATAACTTTACTTTAATGGACACACTCTCAGAATGCTAATTGAAGTTGAATTGAGTTTGGTTGAATCAGAGAGTGACAAAACAGGACTTCTTCCATGACCAATTTAGATTAAGTCTTTAAGAACAGAAGGGCCATGTTGCCCACAATTAGGAATAAGAATCAAATCAGACCCAATTCCAAATTGTGGAGTGAATGCTTCATAATTTATGGTCTATATAGTAAATGCCGGGAACAAATTAACGAGACAACACGATGGCTAATTTTGCCTTTGTAAAGGAGCTCAAAGAGGCTCTTCACTAGGTCCTGTGTGGTAGCTTACACCTGTAATCCTAGCACCCTAGGAGAATGGCTTGAGCTCAGGAGTTTGAGACCAGCCTGAGCAAGAGGAAGACCTTGTCTCTACTTAAAAAAAAAAAAGAAAGAAAGAAAATTAGCCAAGCATCATAGCAGGCATTTGTAGGCCCAACTACTTGGGAGGCTGAGACAGGAGGATTGTTTGAGCCCAAGAGCTTGAGGTTGCTGACACTCTACCCAGGTGACACAGTGAGACTCTATCTCCAAAAAAACAAAAACAAAAAAGGGCTCTTAGAGAGGTAGCATGCCTCCAAAATGTGAGCCAGGAGTCTATGCCAGATCGGGCCCCATCACTATGCAGACTGGGCAGACCACTATAGATACCACCTCCTCATCTGCAAGGTGAAAACCAGTTCATTACCTCTAAGGTTCATTTAGTCTCTTATTAGTTAAATTTCATATTAAACCTAAATAAATGGGTGTGAAATGTAAGCCAGACAATCCAGAATTAGGAGGTGCCATAGCGGCTGAATCATTTAACTATGGACTAGAAAAAAAGACATTGACCACAAAAGCATCAGATTATGTCTAGTACTAGATTTGGTTGAAATGCCTACATCAGAGTTACTGGGAGGGGCATGTTAATGAAAAAGTTACTTCACTTTATTGACCCTGAGCCAGAGCAGTAAGGAGAGGCACAATTAAGGGACTCAGGTTTCATCTTTTTGGTGTTTTCCTTTCTTCTAGAGTGGACACACAGTATAATAACCAAAGGTCCAAAAGAGAAAAACCAAAAGGGAAAAGAGATGATGGGAGAATGAACTCTTAAGTTAGATAGGTAAATGCAGACTCATGTTACATAAAATTTTCAAAGTTATAAAATATCTCCAAATTGAGCTTAACTTCAACCAATTTTTTTCTTTCCAAGCTATGTTTATTATAAAACTAATACAAGCTATAAGTAATTAAAATGTGATATATTCACACAAATGAAGACTCAGAGCAAGGAAAATAAACCAACTACTGCGGCACACAGCAAGGATAAATCCTACAACCATAACCTGGAGTTTTTAAGAGCCAGACACAACCAATATGTTTACATAAACTGCAGTCACTTTAACAACTCTTAGGGTCCTATGTTGGAAATATGTCATGATTTATTACACCCACCCAAGTCATAAGCATTCAAATTACTTCTAAAGTTTTGTTCTTACAAAGAATACTACAGAACAGTCTTGCACCTGTATGCATAATTCTATGAGATAAATTCCTAGATTCAGACAATTCCCTATTTGAATTAATTACAATGCTGCCAAAACTTGTCTGCAGTTAAACACAGGAGCAGGGGGCATTAAGTCTGTCATTGCACTCTCAACATTTTTACTTCTGTGGCACATTTACAAATCAACACCCATCTTGCACTCTTTGCAGTCCAGTCCACAATACCCTGTTATCTCTCCAACTAGGAGAACCTATTCAACTTCAAGACTTAATTCAAGTTCCACCTCCAAAAATAAAAGTGCTAGGTCAATGATCACCCTGTCCAGATGTCATACTCCTTTGCACAAGCTAAGAGAACACTCACACTTTAATACCTTTAAGGCAACTGTAACATATGTCTAGTTACATGAGAGACAACATCAAATAACATTCTGACTGAGGCCAGAAAACCTGATTTGGATCCTACCTCCCCCATTTATTAGCTGTATAAGTAAGTTTAACAATTTCTCTGTGCTTCTAGTTTTTTTTTTAAGTCTGTAAATAGCATGAACCTTATGCAATTATAAGGATTAAATAAATATGTCAATTGCTTAGAACAAAGCCTGGCAAAGATAGCAAAGGTGTCCACTGTTAATCACTAATATTTTATTATTTGGGTATTCACCACACCCACCCAACAGAACTATTTATCATCGAGCACACAGACAACAAAACTTCAGGGCCATAACATGTACTTTTCATTCATATTGCACCTGTAAACTGCAGATGTAACAACTCTTTCTTGTAAATGATTTTTTTTACATCTTTTAAGTATCAGGGCATGATGCAAAGAACAGTGTTTTAGTCAAAAACATTTGAATCTAAGTCCCAGTCCAAATTGTAACATTTGCCATTTCACCTTAGGCAGATATTTAACCTCTCTGTGCTTCAATTTTCTAACTTCTAAAGTTTCAATAATATCTACAGAGCTAGGTAAGACTAAATGACACAATTAAGCTCTCAGCATCATGCCTGGTCATAGTAGGTACATCATAAATTCTGCTCCCTTTTCACTTCTTCCCACGAGGTTAATAATTACAGCTTTACAACATTTTCTTAGAGCTCAACCATGACTAGATTGGCAAAATTAATTTCATTTTTTAAATCGCAAATCCTGCAATGCATAAATATGAGTTTATTGAAATAAAACTCACTTACATTTTATAAAAGAAATCTAAATGCTTGATAAGAACAAAAAGCCATCTGTTTTTTTTAAGAGACAATTTTTAAACATTAAAGACATTTTCAAAAGTCATGAGAAGATTGGCTCTCTAGGTATTCACTTGCCAGCAGCTTATAAGATAAGGCACAGTTCACAATGATCAGGGCTGAAAACAGCGTTTCATCCCAGGACCACTTCAAGGAATACACAGCCAAAGAGGGCAGATTACAACAGCCAGACTGCTCCAATTTTGCTTAAACAGTGTGTCAATACACGGACTAATCACTTTCTAAATCTTCTGACAGGACTCTCAAAGGCAGCCCCTCCACTGTCAGTATCAAACTTCAGAGACACCAAATCCTGCCAGGTGGCAGATAACGCCGCCAAAATTGTACCCCATCGCCCACCACTTGCTGCAGCGTCTCAAAACTGTAGCTAGCCCATGCCACGCTGTAGGAAACACCGCACAGAAAATCTGCTTTGCAAATCACTCTGTAAACCTTAAACCAGTTTGCCGCTTGACGTTATAAAACCCCATAGCAGGACGGCACCTGTGGCTCAAAGGCGTAGGGCGCCGGCCCCATATACCAGAGGTGGTGGGTCCAAACCGGGCCTGATCAAAAACTGAAACAAACAGACAGACAAAACCCATAGCAGTCCAAACTCGGGAAGAGCAGGGTAAAGAAGGGAGGGAAGCAATCCTACTCAGACTAAAGCGAGCCTTTCTATCAAATAACCACACAGTAGGTAAAGTGCACAACACCTCCACGTTTTATTTTCTTCCTCTTCTGCTAAGAATTTACAATAAAACAGCAAGACTGCACGCTCTGTCTTTAATCAAATGCAGTTACCACCAAAGCCTCAACATCTATCTCCCGATCTCACAAGGTTTTTTTTTTACAAGAGTCAACTCACGAGTTTAAACTCTAAACTCTACAAAAGTCGAAGTCTGGGTCCTTTCCCGCCCACCCTCTCACATTCACCAAGAGAAAAGCTGAGAAAGGATCAATTCATCCCACAAAGTCAGCACCAAGCACCTAATAAATTGCCAAATCTCAAAAGTCCCACATGCTGTCATCCCCGGAGCGGCCGCTGGGGACCACCCCAAAACACACAAAACCACTCATAAAACGCCGCTGAAATTTGAAGCCGCTAAGTGGGGATTCTCAACTCGATCAGCCTCACAAAGCAAATCCACTCCCCTGAGGACATCCAAATCAATCAACAGAAAAGTCCTCCACACTGATACTCAGGCGCACAACAGAGGCTAAAAAGTTTAAAATAAGGAAAAAGCATAGACGACAGACCTGGTTCGGTGCTACAACCTGGCGCGCTATCCTCAGGTAACTCCACTTCCCAAATGCACTAAGGAGAGGACCGTTAGGGCTTTTATAGCCCTCTGAAACCGTTCTTCAGCCGAAAACCGCGCCTCACCTCGTGCGCACCTGTCGCGAGCCCAGGGGACGGCCTTGGCCGCCCCGGTGTAAATCAGGGAGCGCGCGCTACACGCTAGTCCCCACGGGCGCGTCGGGGGAAGGACGGCTCGGCTGACCAATTGGTGATCGCCTCAGGCTATTGACAGTGGTGTGGGAGGGGCGTTGCTAGGGAGACAGCTGCCGTGGGGCGTGCCTTGCTTGGATGGGAACTGGGCTCTAGACCCGAGAAGCTCACGTGTCACACGCACGAGAAGAGTTTCTGCGGCTGCGCAGGAACGCCAGCGCACGTGAGCCGCTCTCCTTGCGGTGGTGGTGGAGGGTGTGACCGTTGGCACGTGGCTTCCCCACCGCTGTGATCCTGCCTCCCCCCAACCCCGTGACACAAGAGTGACGTCGATGTTGACAGGGTTTATAGTGAACGCCAGTGCTTGAATATGGATGGGGAGGGGAGTGGTTAGTAATTACTCTGAATGTGGCGATTTGGTAGGAATATATAGGGAAGGTTACTTGCGGTCACCAACAACCACAGGTGGTAGTGGAGAACTAATACAGACCCTCGAGCCAGATTGGGTGGGTTTGCACCCTTGTCCAACATTTAGTCGTTTTATGGCTTGGGGCAAGTGAAGAAACTGCTCTGTGCTTTAGTTTCCCCATCTGTAAAAAGCGCACAATATGGGGAATACCACGTATATGAGTTAGTGTATGCAAAGCACTTAAAGTACACGCTTGGCATAGGACTTTGCTATATAATATTAAGGCTACATGACATTATCACATGGCGTTTTGTCTTACATAGATCAGGGCTGTGCATCTTGGGAAGGAGGCAGTCTGAACAATTATCAGAAGCAAAGCAGGCAAATATTCCAAAGTAAAGCCATCAGTGGCTCCTAGCCAAGAGAGGAGCTACAAGAAAAGTATACTGGACATTTGAAATGCATTCTTTTTCCTTTCATATGAAGCCAGATTAGAGGCTATTATAGGTATAGTACTTTTGCCTATAAACACTTTGTGAAACTTCAAGAATGAGAAACTGGTTGTTTAATTGCAGTCACGTTTATTTGCAGTTTCTATACACACTTTCTAGGTAATCAAACTTTTCTGATACATTTTTTTTTTGAGGGGTTCACAATGAAACTGTCACCGTTTTTACTAAAAATAAATACAAGACTTAAAGTGTTGCACAGCTCTAAAATATACAAAGGCTTGGATTGAATGTAAACGTTGAAAACATCTTACAAAAGAAACCATCTTTGCAACAATTTAAAAAGTTCGTATTTACAAATATTACAAAAATACAAAATGGATGCAAGTCCACAAACCATTGTCTTTTCGGCCAGCATGAACTGGTTCTAGTACCAAAATAGTTACACTGTGACCTTCTTCATTGTTTTAAATCTTGGTTATGATCTAATTCTTTAATTGCTACCACTGTAGCAGCCATACTCACTCACTGACCTTTGGCAAGAGCAAACAGCATGTTTTGTTTGCTACAACTAGTTCATGACCTCTACTTAGCCAAAAAATAAACCAAAATTTAAAAAAATCAAAGCAAAATCAAAGGAAAAAAATCCCCCCCACAACATAGACATGATAGACATGTTGTATAAACATAAAAGAACAAAACAAAAAATAGCATCAGTGCAAACAACGAAAGAAAAGTTCAGATTGAAGTTCTTCACTATACCTAATGTGTGTACCCTGCTTCCAGACGGCAGCGATGTTAAAGACAGCCCTAAATCTTGGTCTTCTTTGTTATGTATAAAACCATGTAGGATATTTCAGATTATTAAGGAATTTCTTGCTTTTTTCTCAGTTTGTTGCTTAATACTATTTTCCACAGTGAATTTAAATTCCATCTCTATTTGGGTTTTTTTTTAAATCTATGAAATATAAAATAGAGAAACTCTGCTATAGATTTTTAGAGTAAACAAAATAAGTAAAACTATATTATAAGGGTTAATTCTGTGATCATTACATATAGAAGGTATCTTATTGCCTCACAATTCAAGTCAATATGTATTTTAAAATATATATGGTACCATTACTTAAATTAATGTCAATAATAAAAAGGTGACATTTTTATTAAAGCCAATTCATGTATTGTCTATTCAAGATTTAGAATCACTTTTAAAGCCCACATACCTTTCTTCACGCTTAAAAAACCCCTAACTACACAAAAGCCATACTGCAAACGAACTGCTTTTATGAAAATTACAAAAGATCACCTACAGTGACTGGAAATGACAGTTTCTTATCATATTTGTCTAAAAACTTGCTTTTTAAAATTTCGCAAAGTGTACTTTTCAAAGCATGAGTCAGATTTATTCATGTTCCCATGTGGTGTCAAACCATGCCGGTTTTCTTAACTAATGGGTTCCAATGAGAAATGATGGTCTGTATTTTTCAAACCCCCAAACATTTTTCTTTCAATAAAAAGTATAACACTTTGTAAATGTTCAAACCCTTTACCAGGTAGCTTATCTATCCCCAGCACCCGTGCACACATGCACGCACACAGGAACACACACATATACACACACACACACTGTCTCTCTCTCTCTCTCTGTCTTTCTGTCACTCTCTCCCTCCTCCTCTATCCCTCCACCCCCAGCACCCAATTTACATACAAGGATGACAAGAAATTTAGTGACACAATTTGGTAGTGAAAAGAAATAGAAGAAGCCAGACTTTTTTTTTTTCTTTCCAAACAAACAAAACACCAACAGCAATCAAATTCTCTAAACTCTTAATCTGTAGCATTTTAGAAAGTATTTCTATTGAAAGACAGTATCTTCTCAGACCAGGCTTTCCCCTTCATTTTGCATGAATTAATCCCAAACCGCAAACCCCCTTTCACACCTCCTACTTTCCCAACTACCACTTGCAGAAGCTTAGAGCCAGCTGCTTGTCAGTTTCTTGGTAACCTTTGTATGTTCTATCATTCTAATCCCATTCTAGTCTTTTGTAGGTCAGCTCCCTTCTTAATTCTCTCTACTTTCTAGCTCTTCCATTCAAAACCTACACTAACTATATAGCTGCTTATACTTCTGACATTTGATTCCAAACAGCATCAGTTCCTGTTACAATCAGAGGTGTAAAAACCACTTGGCAGATGTCAACTTGTAGCTCTTTTTTTTTTTTTCAGTTTTAAGACAAGAAATTCAAGTAATTTCAAGTAATTCAGCTTGTTTCCCTGCCTTCATTTTATCAGAGCACTCGCCCTGACATTTCCTCTCCCACCCACCACCCTCCCCGTTTGCCATCAAGCAGATACTATAGTAAAACCAGACAAAAACTCAGTTGTATATAGCATTGTGAACCAGAGCTGTTCCCCATTCCCAGTTTAACAAGGACTATAAATAATGCATATACACATACCTATTTCCCAACTACGTTGTTCACAGTGTCATTTCTGTTAATTTTTAGGTAGCATGAATCTCATCAGCACAGAGAGAAAGCTTCACTGAAAACTCATTACAGGTACTTACTGATAAATCAATAGCTCTGTGGCATGCTTAGGTTTTATTTTTCTTAGTTTAAGAACCTGGAGCTAATTGCTAAACTGATTACGGAGTAAAGATTGTAGTCATTAGATTATGACTGTTCACCTCCCCAGTAGCCTAATAGAAAACATAACCTAAAATTAACTACTGTTTTCCCTACTCGTTCTCTTTAAAGCAATCCATCAAAAAAAAAAAAATTAAAGCCTAAAGGACACTGTCATATGCTGTTGTTCAGGGCTTTGTGTTGAGAATGATGACTTCTCTCATTGATTTAAAAAAAAAAAAATCAAAAGAGGCCAGGTGCAGTGGCTCACGCCTGTAATCCTAGCACTCTGGGAGGCCGAGGCGGGCAGATTGCTTAAGCTCAAGAGTTTGAGACCAGCCTGAGCAAAAGGGAGACCCCCGTCTCTACGTCTCTACTAAAAATAAAAGACTGAGGCAAGAGGATCACTAGAACCCAAGAGTGCCCTGTGAGCTATGATGTCACCGTATTCTACCCAGGGCAACAAAGTGAAACTCTGCCTCAAAAAAAATGCATATTAAAAAAAATCAAAGCATGCTTTTCATTCTGTTCAAATTACCACGTGGCAAATCACAGCCACGAGTTGCTATTAGCTTGTTTGGTGCTACGATTTGTCACAAAAAATGATAGGTCTGAATTCATTATTTTAAATTAATCACATTTCAGTATATGACCTCAAAATTTCCTTTATTTCACCAGTTTAAAATTCATATTTGAGGTTTACCGCTCAGAAATCATATTGGTGGACATTTAAGTATGGTATTTGATATGAAAATGGTATTCACAGAATACAGTTATTACACTTTATTTTTGTGTGTTCTATAAACAGTTGGTGTGCGGTAGGTAATTGACCACATGTCCACTCATCATTGATAAATCTATTTACACATTTTTATCAAAAATATGGTATTTACATATGTGTAGTTCTTTCTTCTAAATTTTGCTTTAGTTTGTTTGAATGTAAAAAAATACCAAACCTCCAGAGTAATTTCATCTTCTTAAAGAATCATGACAGTGAGGGTTTTATTTTCTGAATAGGCAGCTCTGGGAAAACCTCTTCCAAGTGGCATGAAAATTAGACATTTTCATATTTTCTGTTATCACGAGGAAGGAGACTGGATAAATCAAACTATGCTAAAGAAAAACATGAAAGACAGTGTAGCTACTTAAAACATGGAAACTAATCGAGAAAGACTAAACCACTTTCCCCCAGCAGATACTGTATTTAGGAATTCATTGCTAAGCAGTGATGCTACCCCATCTTGCTGCAACTTCTCCCAAGTCCTCTGCCCCATTCCATATCCTCGTATGAGTAAGGGTTTGGGCGTTTGACAGGCAGCTGGGCACAGGCGACCTATGTGGAGCTCTGGGAGGAGCGGTCATCGTGTGGGCTGCCATCGGAATTTTCTGTCTCTCCCTCGGAGATGGCTTGCATGGGCGTGTTGTACAGGCGGCAGCGGGCACTGTAGCGGCTGCTGCTGGCCACGGGAGGGGCTCGGGAACGTCCAACTCTTGCCGATGCCGAGGTGGCAAAGTTCTTTGAGGAAAACCCTTCGGCATTCACGCGTGGGGAGCATGGAGAGAGTGGGGACAATGCCTCTGCCCCGGGTGACCCCTGATGGGCATCTTCAGTGCTTTGAGGGAACTCTGCTGCGAGCTCCCCGGGAGGTTTGGGCAGGATGGGACTCTTCAGGATCTCAGTGGCAGACATGCGGTAACTGGAATCTGAGCGACTGCCTTTCTTGAGGAGTAACAGCTTAAATTCTTCATTTGATGTGTGGGACTTTTTGGCATTCCGGTAGATGAGACCAGGAGACCTCTGGCTGTTGGCGGTGGTCACAGTGGTGCTGGGTGAAGTGACAGAACTGGTACTGCTGCTATTACTGCCCGGGGGAATTCGCGATTTGCTTCGAACAGACATGTCCCCGGAATCTTTTCTTCCAAGTACTTTCCTCTTGGATCTTTTGAGAAAACAAAAACATGGGGCAAAAACTCAGTCCACATACATTTTTATGGAACGAAAAACGTGTTCAGCCACATTCACACAGAGATCTAGTTTCAGAGCATGGTGAGGGCATCCACATGAGAGGATAGTGAGCTTTGGGGCTGTAGGATGAGGAGTAAGATACATCCCTTGCCCTTGTAGGACTTACAGCCTAAGGGAAATGCTCTGAGAACCAGTGGGCATGAATTAGCTTCTGCAGATGACCATTTCAGAGAATGGCCAACGTGGAGGCTAGGAATTCTAGAGGTGGACCTACTGGGATGTTTGGCAAGAGTTAGGAAACTACTCTGCTATCTGACTTCCCGTTACAGTGAGGTGAACGACTGGAGCTTTTCCTGTTAAATTTGTCCCTACAACGCAGATGAAAGGCTCTGATGTCTGGGATTGGCTTCCAAATAACATCAGAAGGAGCAGTGTGAGTGGGACAGGATTGGCCATAGCTTGATGGGTAATAAGGCCTGGGTGAAGACTATATGGGCAGGCAATAGATTGTTCTGTCTACTTTTAAAATTCCTCCATGGCAAAAAAATTAATTAAGTGACTTTTTAAATAAATCAATCTATCTTTGGCTGCAATACCATTTCCAATCTATCTTTGGGCAAATACCATTTGCCATAGCTGCCGAGGAACTTTGAGAGTAAGCTAACTCGCCGAGAGGGATTGAAATCCTAGACCAGGGATTTTTAACTGGTGTGCCATGAAAAATTTTAAAGATAGTTAATGAAATTATTTTCAAAAGACGTTCAAAGCACAGTAAGTATATTCTTTTCTTACTCTTTTTTGGATCAACATCATTTAAGGGTGCCATGGAAGTTTTACAGTAGGTACAAGTGTGCCACGAGATAAGAAAGGTTGAAAAACACTGTCCTAGACCATCTCTAGGGCTCTTACAAACCTTTCTGCACTGTCAGCTCTCAAGACAAAAAAATTCTTGTCACTATTACGTAAATAACCAAGCAAATAAATAAGTAAAAACTACCCAAGTGCAACTTTTAAGATTACCAAACTTAGTAAGTCTACTGAACCTTGACATCCAGCATTATTCTATGGAGTGTCTTTTGATAAACAGGCATAAATTCAGTGACTCTTCACATAACTTGGTTCATTGAGAAGTGCTGGCAACATGTTCTCTCGCCAACTTAAAAATGTGAGACTTGCCACTGGAGACAAGCCTGGTTTTGATTCCCTGAAACCTCTGTGGTTTCCATCTTGCACATGCCAGTGCCTCGTCCTCCAGTAGGGTGGGATTTTCAAACGAACATTTGCTCTAGCGTCTACCATATTCTAGACACAAAAAATTATTTTATTGTCAAAATCAAATATGTGAGGGACAGGTATCCCCATGCACAGTAAGGGAATAGGTCCAGAGGCTATAATTTACTCAAGACTGCATAGAAAGTGGCAGTGTTGGCATTCAAATCCACTTTGTCCTAACTCTACTACTTACATGCTGTCCACTATTCTAGACATTAGGATTTGGTTTGGGAGGGTAAGTTCTTGGCTCTTTAACTTCCATAGCGTTTTAGTAATTTGTCCTGAGATTCAGGATATAGCATGGACGGGAGGGAAATATGTATAATCAGTGCTTAGACTAGACTTAGGGGCAAAGGAAAATAAGCCAATGACTCTCCATCTTATGTTGTTCTTTGTGACAGAACAACATCAACAGAAACAGAAGTTCCTATAAAAAGTCGAATCCCAGGAAAGAACAACTGTAAGAAGCTTACAATGAAATGGCTCCCCCAAATGATATGATAACTTTATTTGGTAGAAAAGACAATCCTTCAGTTCTGTCCTTTGGGAGTTCCATCTAGGTCCCCAAGGCCTAGTAGAGGAAGGCAGTTGCATTTGTGAAGGGTAGAGGCACATGATGATCTGCTAGATGGGGTGGATATGAGTTCAGTCTCCAAGGGCTAGTATTGGCTTTGTTCTTGGGTTACTAGCTGTAAGGAGTATTCTTGCAAATATGGACCACTAATCATGGGGGTGCGTGGGGGCAGATGAGGGAGTGTGCATTCGCAACACGGATGCAAGACTGTCTTGGAAAAGCAATCCAGAAGACATCCCCTATTAATGGAATATGGGCATTAACTTTGGGGATGAAGGCCAGTACAAGTAAAGAAATTTAAGTTTAAAGAGGAGAGGAAAAAATGGGAGCAATTATAGTTGTTCGGAGCTATGGAATAGACAGGTACACTATCTTGTCTTAAACGTGGGGTTCTATTTGTCTTGCTCAATCAATTTATACCTGTCTCTATGAATAATTACAGCTTTGACTATATTTTTTAGGTTCAAGAAATTATTCAAAAGTCAAAGATTAGTTTGAGCTTTTACTCCATGTCATGTAACCACAAACAATTTTCACATGAAAAATTGAGGATGTCTCTCCTGGGGGGGTGGAATACATCTCCCCTCAGCAGTTCTCATTAAAGTCTCTAATAGAAGTCTATCTAACTATATAAAGACTTCTATTTCCCAATGTGCATGTAAGTCTACCAATTTGATTTGGAAACAATGCTTGCTTTTGATTTTTTTGAATGCATTACAAGTAGGGAAGGCTTTCCTGTATTTGTATTTGATGAGAAGCATTTTGTCTCTGAGACAGAGTCTCACTCTGCTGCCAGGCTAGAGTACCATGGTGTCAGCCTAGCTTACTGCAACCTCAAACTCTTGGGCTCAAGCAATCCTCCTGCCTCAGCCTCCCAAGTAGCTGGGAGTACAGGTACCTGCCGCAATACAGCTAATTTTTTTGCTCTTGCTCAGTCTGGTCTTAAACTCCTAAATGCAAACAATCCACCTGCCTCAACCTCCCAGAGTTCTAGGATTACAGGTGTGAGCTGGGCCTGATGAGAAGCATTTTAAGAAGCAAAACTTTGGTTGTGCCTTTCGTTTCCGGGGCCTTGGTAATGCCATCTCACCTGTGAATGACTGCGAATAAATCCTCAGTCGTTCGAGGTTTGTTTGGAGACACAAACACCCCATCCGCTTCGGCTTGAGAGTCTTTACTAAGTGGTGAAATGATGGTGTCATCGCTTGGTGATGATTCTTAAAATAAGAACAGAAGCATCTTTAAGAGGAAGTAACCTAGAACACGCCTGTGTTTCACTGACCCAGGGAACAAACAAATAGGAGTTACTTTGCTGCCATTTTTTTAAATGAAAGAGAGATCTGTGGAAGCTTAGTGCCTCCATAACAAAAGCTTTTATCTCAGTTGTTTTAATAAATGAAAAGAAATAATGGAAAGAAACCAACACCCAGGGCTGAACAGTATTATGGGGAATGGAGGAAAGAAAATCTCCAGGAAGTGCCATGAGAAACATTTCCATTGTGACAAAAGTATCAATGACTGACCTTTCAGTGAAGCCTCATCCACACTTCCATGGGTCTCCTCTGGTCTGCTGTTTTCAGAGGCACTTTTGGCTGAAATACCTGAAGCAATATTTTCCTGCTCAGAACATTTTTCAGGGAATGAATTTACAGGTGATATCTCTGATTCGTAGCTGATATTCCCAGGCACTTTGTCGTGGTGGCGGCTCATAGCAAGTTGATGCTTAAATTGATTACTTATGTCTGTTGCTCTGGTTGGTGCGTTTGACTGAGATGGAATTACATCTGCAGATTCGGGTTGTGCAACTTCCTCTCGACCTACAGAGGGCGCCTTCTGTATCTGTTCTAGGGCTCCGTCTGGACCAGCTCCATATTGTATTATTGTACCATCCAAATCAGTTGGGCGGGCAGCAGAGACTTTCTGAAATCCTTCTGCGGAAAAATCACAGTTTTTGCTTGCTGTGTTTTCCAGAATGGGCTCACTCTCTGTGTGTATTTGGTCTTTTGCAGCATTGGAATCAAGGAGATTGCTACCAGCTGAGGGTACGTTTTCTGGATCGCAATCATTCTTCACATCAAAAGTAGAACTTTTTTCTAAATGTAGTTTATCTGGTCCCATCTCAGCTGCAGAGGGGTCTAAAAAGGACAGTACGGTGTCTTCAGTGGAGTACTGATGTGAGACTGATTTCTTTGCTGTTTGTGGCTGAATCTTACTCGGAGACAAGGCCGTCATTGTCAGAGTGTTTTCCTCTAAGTAGGGGAGATTTGCATTGTTGCCCTCTTTTTGCTTAACTTCTTCAGACTTGTTGATGGACTTAAGGTTAACAGATTTCAGGACTGTTGGCGTAATGGCAAGGGACGGCGGAGGATTAGACCTCAGTGTTTCTCCTAATGTGTTCTGCTTACTATGAGTAAAAACATGCAATGGATGACGGTGGTGGAATGGTTTGTTCAAGACGCTATGAAGAGCACTTAGGTCAAGATGGGTAGGAGGTATAATTGGAAGTTCAAGATCTTTACTCAGTGAGATAGTTCCATCTTTTAAGGAGGGTTGCTGTAGCGAGGATTTCCTCTCTGGGACTTTAGGTTTTCTTTTGCTACCTCCAGGAGACAATGGGCCTGAAAAGAAAGCCGTTGGGAAAGAGGATGTTGGCGTTTCAGACTGGCTCGAGTAGCCACTGGATGGAGATGCCAAGCCAGCCAGCTTTTCTGGGGAAGCCAGTTTAAACTCATTGTCCACAGAAGGAAGAGATGGGGTGGTGGCTCTTGATTCTGACTGGGATGTTTGGGATTCAGAGCTCTCTGGAGATTTGATGCATTCAATAACTGTGGTACCCGTAGCAGTGCTTGAGTTAGATAGTGATCTATACGGATCATTTGTTTTCAAGTCATTCAGAAGCCAGAGGTCTGCATAGTGAGTTGATTCAGCACCTTCGTCTTTGAATGGTGGAATATCGGAAGTGTCTAACTGAGGTTCCTTAATGCCGTGTTCACTCTGGTTTATCCAAGAAGGTTCCTGCTTGGTGGGAAGATTGGCATTTTCCATTCGAGAAGGCGTGTTGGAGAAATCGAGAGGCAGCTTCATCTCCCTGGAACTGTGAGGCAGGTGCTGACCACTGCTTATCTTTGGTTCTTTCTTCTCAGAAACGTCTGTGTTTCCATCAGACTTCCTCAATGATGAGCTACGTTTAGGTGGGGTCGGCTTTGCCTTTGGTTTCCTGAAAGAGATGCTCGGTCTTCCCTGCCTCCTGTGGTCTAAATAGTCCTGCCAGGAACAGTCCGGAAGACTGGTAGGAACTCCAACACCCTGGCCATTCTCTGGGCCCAGGGCTGTGTAGTGACAGACGTAGCCCTTACTACCTTTGAGACCACAGTCAAAATGCATGGAGGTATAGTATCCTTCTGTGTCTACCGAAAAGTGAGAGCTAGTGTCTGCTTTGTCCGATGGAGACTTTTCCAGGAAGCTGTCATAAGTGGCCATGCTTGTGAAGCTTGGGCAGCCTAGGCTGTCTGCCTTGGGACGCTCAGGGCTGAAATCCTGGCGGCAGGAGGCATCATGATGGTGGTGTAGGTAATTCCACTCACTGTCACTTGTGTTGCTGTTGTTAGGGTCATCCAGCAGATCCGCGACAGTAGAGGTGAAGGAATTTGCCCGGTGGCCTCTCACTTTATCCAGATGGTCATTGTACTGCTCTGTCACAAAGACATTGGTGTCTTCATTGGCATGAGGAGCCGTGTTTAGTGACAATTCTGAGTCACAGTGAGAAGAGCCAGTCAGGGGAGGAGAAGCTGCAGGAGGGATTGTCTCTGAGGTCTGTGAGGGACACGTGGAACTGCTCCCACTCCAGTTGCCACTGGAGGACTGGTGCTCATCTTTCTGGTCCATGTGGCTGCTGAGGAGGACACCAGCCGTGGAGATGCAGTGGATGGGGCTCCCAAAGGTGTCTGAGTTGGAGGAGATGTCACAACTGCCAGAGTCAGCACCCATTCGGGACAAGCGTGACCTCCCTCTCTCATTCAACTTGTGCTGAGGGCTGTGAAGATGCTGAGAACAGGCCAAGCCCAAAGCAGGCTGGTGTTCCTGTGTGCTCGGGCTGCTCGGAGCCTCACTGCAATCATTGGGGATTCTTTCATGGTCCTCCACGAAAGGCTCTCCCTCTTCATATGCTGAGGGTTTAGTACCGACTTTGGGCTCAGTATCCCCACCTCTGTTGCCTTCCCGGGGCAGGCTCCGAGACCTTGTGCGGCTGCTCACTGTAGTGGTAAACATGGTGTCTCCTTTGTCTGCCAGGGCAGAAATGTTGCCAGCAGAGTGTGAGAGGGAAGCCGCGATGCTCTGACCCCTTTGAGCTCTGATTCTCCTTCGGGATGGGGCAGCAATCAGAATGTCCTCAGTTTGGCACTCAGAGTCCCTGGTTCCGGACCTTCTGTTGACAGTGTTGGAGGGGTCTGGATTTGTGTGCACGATCACATTCCTTTCCCTGGCCACTGGTGATTCATCCGAATCTAGGGCACATGGAAAGCACAGTGAGATACATCAGCAGACTAACAGACATTCCGAGCGATGTCTGCAGGGCTGCGTGCTGGCATGTTAGAGCTTTTTCTTACAGGAAAAAAATCAATATATAGAATTAGAAGAAAGTTAAAATCAATCTCTCGTACTCTCTCTGCATATATATACTATGCTTTTATATCTTTTGTGAATGATCTCTGTCTTCTCTATTAATTTGCCACAATAAACAACTACTTAAAAAAAAACTCAAGTACATTTTATCTTCTTGGCCACTACTTTTCATTTTTATTTTGTCATATAAACATAATGAAATAAAAATCAGAGACTTCATTAGAAGAAATAAAAACCTTATTTGTAAGAGATAGTACCATACAATAAAAAAGAGATACTACCATAATAATTATCTTTAAAAACCATAGGCAGACATATTCTGAACACTTTGAACAGAAAAAAATGGAAAGGATGTCACCAAGGATATCCTATTATCAATATTCAATATTTAATTGCATATATTTGAACTTTAACTTTGTAAGTAAGTAGTCCCCTAGAAGCATATCTCTCTTCAAATGAAGTTACAGTTTTCCAGAAAGAATTCTTTCATTGAATCCTGCTACTTTTTATTCACAATTTTTGCTATAAATTTTTTTAAAAAATTAGCAAAATGTTACACTTCATCCATAAGACCTGAATCTGTATGCCTACATCTATAAAGTCTATCCTTCATAATGAAAAATAGAGAATTAAAAAGTAATAGTGCCTGGCCAGCTGCATATAAAACAAATAAACATCATTTTAAACCCTCTGTAAGGGAAAATGTTTAAGGTTTTAAAGGAAGCAGTTGAAGGCTGGTTTCCATTTCCTCTCCTTATAATCTGCGTTAGACAGAATGTTAACCATTAGCACTTTTCATACCACACCTATTTCTTGTTGAACTCTTCTGGGGATACCCGAGATGGTTTTCCTCCTCCTCAATTTTCGTCTCCTCTGGAGAACGGATTGTGAATGAACAAGGGAACAGCGGATACTAGCCTCTCTGTCGAAACCAACGCCTGCAACCCACAAATAGGTCTCATTAGCCTTTAGAAATGGCAAACAGATTTTCATTTGCTTGCAACACGGTGATATTTCTTGATTGGAAGTAAGGGAAGAGTTTAGATGAAGCCCTTGAACAAATATAAGGGAGACTTTCTTCGGCTCTTATTTAAATTACGGTGCAGTAAATTAAGCTTTACTTCGGAGGGCAGCTCTCCACAACGGCTTGCACTGCCAAAAGTAGCAAGCAGAGAAGGACAATCAAAAGAAAGAAAAAAGAAAAAGACATGAAGAAATCGCGCTCACACAGAAATGGCGCCTTAAAGGAGTTATAACCTTTAGTTACTACTATTTACTGATCTATTTCTGGGCTCTCGGAAGCTGATACCTTTGCACATGGTAAGTCAGTCAGTAGCCAAGATGTTAACCTGAATTAGTTCAGCTAACGTATCCTGACCCATTTTTTCATTAAAAGCGTCTTTGTGAGTTTCTCCCCCTCTAACTTTGTATGCCCATGCCTTCCTCCCCAGGCGTGTGTAAGCACACACTCACACACACATTTGCTGTAAGGAAATTCAACAGTCTAGGGATTTTTTTTTCTTTTAATCATCACAAAATTCTGTCTACTTTCTTCTATGGACTAAATCAGATCCTTTTTGCTTCAGCACCTGTCTTATCAATATAAACTAAGCATACAGGGCAGTCCCCAGTTCAGCACTTTGAAATGGATCCACTTTTTGTACTGACTGTAAAGCTGGAATTCTCAGTCTTTATACCACGCGTTTGTTTTTGTAAACCGAGGGCAACCCATGATGCTTGTCAGTTTCTCTTTCCATAATCACATTGTTGACACTACCTGCAGTTCTGTCAAAACTAGAATGAGAGGGAGGGGAGGAACTCAAACTCTTGTCTAGCATGGACGTGCACCAGGGAGTTTTCAGAGTGAGCTCTGCCTCATATAGCCATATTGCTGTGTCTTGGCATTGGTCACCTCATCATTGATCCTGATTTGTTAAGCATGGGACTAGATGGCATGTTAAGTCCTGGCTCAGTTGTATAATGAGGCAGTTGAGTTCTGCTTAGTGTCCTATTGCTACCAGTTTCTAGAATTCACTTTGCAAAATCTGTATCAGATATTACAAGATACATAATTGAAGTATTATCACAGAATTCGTACTGATGGAATTTTTCTTTCTTAATTCCAACCCCAAACTAAAATCCTTCAGTATAGAGCACATGGTATGCAGATACAGACATTGCGTGTTATGTGGACATCAGGAACAACGTTCTCACTAACACTCATGAAATCAACTTCTTTTTTTTTTTTTTT